TGCTTTTTTTGTTGCTTTCACCTTTCACCAAGAAGTTTGCAATACTTTTCTGAGCGATCAAACTTGGAGTTCATGATGTATGAAGAAACAGGTTTAAAAAATCTGAAAGACTTACTGCTGAATTAGCCAAACAGTAGAGCCATGTTGCTAGCCAGGGTTATGGGTTCGATTCTCAGAGAAAGTAAGAACGGAAATCTAAAATAAATTGAATGCAGTATAAGTCACTTTGGATAAAAGCATCTGCCAAGTGCATAAAAAAGTCAAATTATTAAAGGGGTCATATGATGCTATTTTAAAGATCATTATTTTGTGTATTTGGTGTAACAGAATATGTTGACATGCTTTAATGTTCAAAAAACACATTATTTTTCAAATACTGTACATTATTGTTGAACAGTCAATAGCAAATGCTTAAACTAATAACAAAACATACTTACAGTCGCTGATTCAGAAGCGCCAGATTGTCATAGCAAAGTCGGAATTGACCCTTTTTTTTTTTTAGAAACAGCCTTGTACTGCCAGCTTTGTACTCTTCTAGGTTCAAAAAACTGTCGTCCATAAAATGCGTTGCACAAATTCGAACATCTGGGTTGTGCTGTTCTGTTGTAAATAAATCTTAACCAATGATTCCTAATTGCATCTACTTCCGGAAGGCCAAATAAAGTGCTTTTGCTTTCGCACTGAATCACACAGCGTCTCCCTGACATGGCTGCATCAACACTACTGCTGTTCCTGAAACCACGCCTTCTTTCTTTGCGTGCACATTTGGGCTGCATTATGCTAATATTTCCACATAGTGACCTAGATATGTGGGGGCGTGTTAGAATGAGCCGTTTTAGGTAGGTGTGGCTGACTCTTAACTTTTATAAAGAATATCTCTTTGGATTTGAGACTTTAGTCTTTGCAACTTTACAGATCTTCTTTATGCACCAAGAGCTTGTAACACTCCAAAGAGAAAGGAAAACCTGAAATCGCATCATATGACCCCTTTAATACATTTTCATGGCAATGGGTTTTGCATGGACAAACACCACTTTTAACATTTTAACAGAAAATGTGAAATGTATTTGAATTTGATTATTAGATGATGCAGTATCAATTAAAGATTTTTTTTTTTAGGTTTTATATTGTAGTTTAACATATTTTTCTGTCCCGTCACCTTGCACTTTGCTTTGCAGTATAGTAAAAGTGAAATAAATAAACACATACTTACATACATAAATAAATGTTTTACTGGTAATGTTAATGTTATACTGCAAAACGGTATTAAGTTTTTATTTTTTCAACCTCAGTGTTATTCCAGCATATATTATAGTTTTCATTAGCCTAATATTTTTAATCTTTATATATATATATATATATATATATATATATACACATACATTTTTTTATGTTTTTGTTATTTTTCAGTAGTTTTTGTCAGATGAAAAATTGAGAATGAGATTTTTTTTTCTTTGTTAACTATAATAACCCTTGTCAACACTGATATTATTTGTACATTTAGAACATTAAATTAAAAGTAAGTATATAAGTAAGTAAGTAAGTACAACTAGTAGAAATAGTTTTGTTTGAAACTTTGGAGTGGAGTTGGAGTTCTTGATTTAGTTTTTGATATAGCTGTCAGCTTGCTTCTGTAAAAGTTGGACATTTCCTCAAGTGTGTGATCTCTTTGCATTTCATGTGTCTCATTCCTCATAGAGAGAGAAACTGTAAAGTCAAACAAGCAGCGACCCTGTCCACACACCCAACTCTTAGCATACTTTCACTCACTTCGTCTGATAAAATAATTCTGCATGGGAAGCAATAACACATTGTGATAATTCTCAACAGATGTGAGCATGCCTTAGCAAGTTAACAATAGTCCATGGGGAGTGTGGACAGCGTGAAGGAGATAGGAAGATGCCGAACAGGCTGCGGTTGTGTACCGGGTTCCCTAGCGCTTCTCAAACCTGGCAGTGAAGTCTGGAGCTCGTCCAGTGTCTATAGATCCAGCACAGGTTATTCAACTTTAACAAAGACGGAAGATTCCTGCAGTTGAGAAAAGGACCACAAAACACAGTTTACACCTTAGGTAAAGTCATGTTTTGAGTATTATTAAACTATAGATCTATAATAGCCTGGTTTGGTTTGATTACAGAACTCAAAGATGCAAGTGGAAGAAGCAGAACATGAACAGATACATTTCTTTTCCTCATTGTTTTTGCCTTTAAGAGGCTTCATGTTAAAGTCAAGAAATATCTAGTGCAAGTAACCAGGGGAACAAACAGTATCAGATATGATTCTTTATGTGTTGTTCTTATGAAATGTTTCCATGCATGCAGGATGTAAAAATCGATTTTGCACCATCTTTTGAGACATAGTTAACCTATGTCGCCTGCTAGTGGACATACATTCATCTACCCATCATGGGGTGAATTTCTCTTCACTTGAGAGAAGATCGCGCCTTTGCTCTATTTCAGCTCAATTAAATAAATGATGCATAAATAGTCCACAATTGTTTAAAAGCTTTATTTCGATGATTTAGATAGTTCTAGTGGCTATACGTTACATTTGGTTGTCATGAGTTGCATGCTAGAATATATATTTTTCAATACATTGTGTTTGTGTGTGTAGCCTATGTGTGTTCTTTTGGATTCTTTGGGTCTATTTTTAATTATCTTTCCACTTTAAGTGATAGTAAGCTTTTGGAGACAGTTTATCCACTCTTTAGACAATGCTGTTTTTGAAATGTTCAGAGTATAGCCTAGACAAAAATCGTAATACTGTTTTGTAAACTTTTGACGAACAATTTGATAGACAGCATTCCGGGATGCTAGTTAGATATGTTTAAATAAATAACAGACATATAAAACTAAAATATTTTTTAAATAATCGCCTCCAGGGTTACCTATAAATTATCCACGCTCAACTCAACCGGATATTAACTTTAAAGTTGAGTGTTTTCTTAACCTTATCAATGACATCACTTGAAAGAAATCTGGAAAGAAATATGAGCATTTTTACCGGCATATCATTGCTTTTACGTTTTTTAACAAGATTCCAAATCGAACTAATACTAGTTCTGCATTAGCAGTGTAAAACATTGCTCCCAAAGACCAAGATGCTTTCTAACAAACACAAGAATCTTTATTTTATTATCATATTTCGTTATATGGTCTCCAAAGAGGATTTATGCACTTTGGAGAGTCGGATAGCCTGTACCAAAAATAAAAAAAAGAGAGAGAGAGGTGCCAGTAAGTAGTTGTGAAATTTGTAAAAAAAAGTTTATTTTTCTCTGACCAAATCCTAAATTATTGTTTTATTGTTACTGATAGTTATCAGCGTGCTGCACCTAATCAGCAGCGCGACTCTGACCTGCGCGCAGCTCACCAGACCCGGACACTGAGGGTCAGAGCTCCCGCTCCCGGCACCAGCTCCTTCCCTACCGGCGTATCTGCATGTGAAATCGCCATTTCACCCCGCCACACTCCCTAATTGTTGTAAAAATTATTTGTGAAATTGCTTTCCACCAGGAGTGTTCGCCACGGCAATTTCCACACAATCTCAGCGCGCGGCGGTCCCACAGAGCTGAACACACGCACAGCCATTCAGCCTAAAGAATCTGGAGGATTTTGATCATATGTGCTGTTATATGTGCGGTTTTTCACAGAAAAACAGGTGAAGCGACTTACCCTCTTAAAATGAAGTTTTAATTAGAATCACAAGGGGTTTCCGACCATAAAGAACGTTACTCTCATGCTATTTAGAAAAAGCATCTGTCCAGATGTTTTAGAGTAGGCTACCTAGAAACTAAAACACTGATCTGAAGTACCTTCTGAAACAATACATTTCTATAGAATTATACAGTTAACTCGAGAACTCTATACAGGTAAAAGTTATTCGTGCTAGGAAGAGGGTTCATTGTTGAGTCTAAATTTCTAAAAAAAAATAATTAAAAAAACCCCTTCAAAAACCGTTATTTCTGACGCATTATTATTATTATTATTATTAATGATACTATGCATTTTTTATTAAACTCTGCCACGTTGTCTTGATTAATTTCCAAATTGAATATGTCAATGTTTCAGCCTTTTTTTGTTTTTTTGTTTTATCATCATGACCCTCACCTCAATCTCAGGTAGGTGGGCAGTTTTGGATACACTCTTGTTCCTGTTCTTTCTACATACAAAAATAGCATAATATTCAGATCCTTGATAGTTTTTAATGACAAAGCCCTGTAAATTGAGGAATATCTGTCGTGTTTCTCAATTTATACACAAAAATCACTTAATTAATGAAGGAATGCCACACTACGAATCTACAAAATATATTAAACTATGAAATATGTACAAGGTCAAGTTGAAATACAGGATTGCAATCCTTTTACAAATGACTACAAACCTATTTTGGCAGAAAATGTTTAGGGTCACACAGATTTCCTACTGCACTGGCATATAAATTAATTGTATTTATTTATTTTTAATTAATAATAATAATAATAATAATAATAATAATAATAATAATGCATATTATATGATATGATATGATATGATATTATTATGTGTTTGAGAGAGAAATGCTAACGTTGTGTCTCCCTAGTCCAGAGAGAGTCCAAAGCATTAAACTGACGCTTCAGTTCAAATGACAGATGAATGAAAACTCTTTGTAACATTTCCTGTGTTGACTTAGAGAGAAAGTGGGAGGGTGGTGTATGTGTGTGTATGTTTTCTGCAAAGTTCCCCCGGATTGGACGGCAGGTCTTGGGTATTACCCTTTCTCTCCATGATGAATAAAAGAGTGAGGGAGAGCCTATCGTTACGCGCTTCCTCCTCCCGCTATGTGCGCCAAAGTTGGCCACTTAAACTCCTCTCAGGCAGCAAACAGGAGCTATAATCAAAACTAGCAGAACCTCTCACTAATATTTACTCACAGTTGCTTCAGTGCACATTTCATGCTTTCCTCTGCTCATCCTGCTATTGTTTTTTTTTTGTATCCACTGTAAGAACTTTTTTCTTCTGCACATTCGGCATTGTCCACTGGTGTGCGTTTTGGATTTCTTTTTACCTTTTTTTTTTTTGGACCTGTTACAGTTTCCACGGCGCAAACAACTCTGGAGCTTTCTGTGCGATTGGTTTCTTTAATTTATTAGTGAGAGATTCAGTTATTTGGGGGTAGCTGGAATGGCTACTTTACCAGGAACAATTCCTCGAATGATGCGACCAGCACCTGGCCAGAACTACCCACGAACCGGATTCCCGTTAGAAGGTATGGAAACAATTCTTCTTATTATTATTATTCTTAAATAAAATCACAATTTTATTACATATTTGTAACTGTAATTTTAAAATACTAAAACAAATCCTTTTGGACAAGGTATGTCAAACACACTTTCACGCGTTACTGATGGTAAAAAAGAACGAAATTATCGGCCTGAATGGAATTTAAGAAGTAGGCCTAGGCTAATTTATAAGACGGAACAAAAACTTTTAAAAATAGCAGAGATTATACTTATGAAATCAGTTATTTTAAATAATTGACATTGAACCTTCTTTCATAATCTTGTTATCTTGCAGAGTTCTGAGTAAAATGTTCTGAACGTGTTATTTGCACGCGCCGCTTGCGCATTAAATGGGAAACTCTTTCCTGGATCGAGTGAATTCGTGCTTAAGAGCATTTTGACGAAACCCTATACCAAACCCACGAATCCTGCAATCTGTGGGATTTGCTTAAGTATCTCTCAGCAGCGAAGGGAAATAAAACGCACAGCTGAGAGCTGGCTCAAAGCATCACACTAATATTTGTGTTGCATGACTGGGAATAATCGAGGTTTAAAGTGGCACCTCTTTAGTGCCTCTTGAATGGCAATTAGTGTCCTCAAGTGTTACATCCTCTCGTAACACATCAGATAGACTGATAGCATAGAAGGATTCTTTCAGGAAAGAAAATGTGTGAGGATGAGATTTTTGGATTAATTCTCCTCCAGGCTTTGATTAATCATTATTCGTATCTTCGAATAAACAGAAAACCTTCGGCATGAATCGTTTCAAAATCTTCTCTACATATCACGTGATAAATAATATGATCTGATGTGATTAATCAGAATGACAGCATGTAGATGTTTTGTGATAAATCCTGTACAAAGCCTGGAGGACTCGCTTGCAGGATTTCCCCCTCAAAACTCAATGACATTAAATTAAATGCACTTTACATTATGTATCATTTTTTTGCATTCATAAATTCAACGCGTAATTCCATATATAATCGCATAGTTGAAATGGATGTTATAAAGTGTCACAATCTTATCTTATATGTTGTTTCCTTTGTTCAAACTTTCTTTTTGGGCCTGGATGTTTTTACAGTCTCAACGCCTCTGGGTCAAGGTCGAGTGAACCAGCTCGGTGGAGTTTTCATCAACGGAAGGCCACTGCCAAATCATATTCGACACAAAATAGTGGAAATGGCCCATCACGGCATCCGACCCTGTGTGATCTCCAGACAGCTGCGGGTCTCACACGGCTGCGTGTCCAAAATCCTCTGTCGCTACCAGGAGACCGGTTCCATCCGTCCGGGAGCGATAGGTGGAAGTAAACCGAGGGTGAGTGAACGATGTCGAAATAAAAGACATGTTTATACATTTAACAAATCGTAATGGGGGGTTAATGAATAATTATGATGAATTATTAAATATATTTTAATCATAAATATATCTGGAATTGATAGTAAACAGAATGAGCATTTCTTGTGCTTTTTTCCATCCACATGTTTGGTTCTACGCTAAAGCAAGTATCAACGCCCGACGTTGAGAAGAGAATTGAGGAATACAAACGCGAGAATCCAGGGATGTTCAGCTGGGAAATCCGGGATAAGTTGCTGAAGGACGGGGTGTGTGACAGAGGCACGGTTCCTTCAGGTGAGGCCTCTTCCGGTAAGCACCATTTAATTCCTATTGACATAAAGAGGACGTTACGCGCTTCACAGCATCTACTTAATAATAATAATAATATAAATAAATCTGTATATTCGTTTTTAATTAATTTTGGAGTTTTACATTTGAATTCTATAAATGAAATCCCATTTTTAGTGTGCATTGTTATGATTGTTATATTTGGCGTTACAGTGATTATTATCTCTCTTTATAGTTAGCTCCATTAGTCGGGTTTTGAGAGCTCGTTTTGGCAAGAAAGATGACGACGACGAGTGCGATAAAAAAGATGAAGACGGAGAAAAGAAAACCAAGCACAGCATCGATGGGATTCTCGGGGATAAAGGTCAGAGGCCGTTACATTTCTCATTGCGTGCGAATAGATGCGAGGAAACGTGGTGCGTAAAAGTTGTGCATTATAACTCGAACTCCCACGGAAGATGTTTTTGAGGTGTTGATCGGTTGTACTGACAGATCGTGATGGACTGGTGCTGTAATTGCTGCTGTTGTTGCAATTGATATTTCATTAGGCAGTTATTTGAAAGGGACAGATGCTGCAGTCCTTCATTCTCGCCAGGGGGAATATGTGCGCCCCCTTGGAAAAAAAAATGGCACAAATAGCTCTCATTATTCATGCTGCTAGCTGTTCAGTACTTACTCAATTATTTATGTGAGCCCTGACGTCAGGTATTTAGCCGGGTAAATTAATTTGTGTGGCACATTCCATTTCCATCGCGTTTTAACGACCCCCTAAACGACAACTGACAGTTTGAACCATTTGAGAATCCATGTCAGTTTAAGCAACTACATTATACGAGACATGTGGACCCCGTGGAGGTGACTTGTTTTGGCAACATTTATTATTATTATTATTATTATTATTATTATATGATCTTCATAATATTGTGAAATGAAAATGATCATTTGACAATATTTGAACTGAATTGCATAACAGCTCATTATTTATATTTTATTATTATTTGTTATTATAAATATTTATATTTAGGTCATATATTTAATATATTTATATTATATTTAAGAGTCTGTAATTAAACATTATAGCCTACTATTATAATTCGAAATATAATATTATAATTCGCAACGGTCATATTATATTCTTTCAATTATACGCGATATATTTTTTATTTTAGATTTATAGCGGGTCACAATACCCTTTTGCCTTTTTCTAAACGTTGTTATGAACAATCTCGATTTAAGCCTTTGTAACCTTTAGACTGAAATACAAAAGAGAACGGCTCTGGAGCCGGGCAGCAAAAAGAGTAACTGGACCGGTGACCCCCATTCAAAGATCCCAGAAAAGAGGGGAAAACTTTGTACAAAGGGTAGTAAAAAAAAAAAGAAAGGCAGATAAATTATTGAGTGCTCCCTGCTGGTAGATAGTTTTGTAATATGAAGGAGCGTTTACAATTGTAAGCTCAACATTTCATGGTGCACTGACAGTTTGAACCATTTGAGAATCCATGTCAGTTTAAGCAACTACATTATACGAGACATGTGGACCCCGTGGAGGTGACTTGTTTTGGCAACATTTATTATTATTATTATTATTATTATTATTATATGATCTTCATAATATTGTGAAATGAAAATGATCATTTGACAATATTTGAACTGAATTGCATAACAGCTCATTATTTATATTTTATTATTATTTGTTATTATAAATATTTATATTTAGGTCATATATTTAATATATTTATATTATATTTAAGAGTCTGTAATTAAACATTATAGCCTACTATTATAATTCGAAATATAATATTATAATTCGCAACGGTCATATTATATTCTTTCAATTATACGCGATATATTTTTTATTTTAGATTTATAGCGGGTCACAATACCCTTTTGCCTTTTTCTAAACGTTGTTATGAACAATCTCGATTTAAGCCTTTGTAACCTTTAGACTGAAATACAAAAGAGAACGGCTCTGGAGCCGGGCAGCAAAAAGAGTAACTGGACCGGTGACCCCCATTCAAAGATCCCAGAAAAGAGGGGAAAACTTTGTACAAAGGGTAGTAAAAAAAAAAGAAAGGCAGATAAATTATTCAGTGCTCCCTGCTGGTAGATAGTTTTGTAATATGAAGGAGCGTTTACAATTGTAAGCTCAACATTTCATGGTGCAAAACGGCGTCTTTTGTGCGGGTTTAGTTGCGCGTAACTGCGCAGTTGGTTTAAGACAAAGTAAAGCTTTTACATTTACACTTATTTAGATTGAGTTTCTTTAATAGAACTGGTATAAAATGATAATGATATTTTGCGATGGATAAATCAATCAGGGGTGCGTTTCCCAAAAGCAACTATGGTTGCAAGTTCCGTCGTTACCAATAGATTTCAATGGAACTAACTACCATAGTTAGCTAACGATGCTTTTTGGAAACGCACCCCAGTATGATTAAATAAAAATATCTATAGTAGCCTATTATTTCTGTTTTCTCTTGTAAATAATGCCAAAGTTATACGCTCAGATGACATCCCTCAAAATTACTTTTATATGCATTTATACACAGGCCGAAACTGATATTCGTTATTAAACAAATGCATGAAAAACAATCTCTCTGTTGCTGTCCACTGGTTGTGGTTGTTAATTTGTTGGGAATGTTGTGAGTGCGTCATCTCTTGGTTAATTATTCCCTAAATCTGTCATTTATAGTGTCTCATCTTCTGCACAGCATTGAATCCACTGTTAAATTCTTTGAAGGGATTCTTTAAGTTTACCATCCGGATAACATTTAATAATGTTAAGACTTATTAGAGCTGCTGTGTGTTGAATGGGCGTCTGTGTTGCTGAGGAGTGTAATAGCTCTGAGGCACCGGTAAGAAACACACTGATCCTCCAGCAGCTCTCGCGCCGGGGTTTCGCGCACAAACGTAATGTAGAAGAGCTTTTAAGCCCTGATTAAACTGAGTCCCTTTATTTCTTTTCACTTTCATCTCTGAACGGCTCACAGTGACTCGCCCAGGGCGTAAATTCATGAGATTTTGAGTTTATTTTACATGATATTTATTTATTTATTTAGGGTATTCAAAATACATGCGTTTTTTTATTGCATGTCTTTATAAGGTGTTAAACTGATTACTATCTAGTTCACCAGAAAAGTCCTCAGATTTTTAATTGACTTGTTTTGGCATACAACATTTATTTATTTATTTAATGTGTTAATTAGATGTTAAATTGCTTACGCATATTTAGTTGATCAAAAAAAAGTAATACCTCAGATTTTTGTTGACTTGTTTTGGCATTATTGTTTTAATATTATATTATATTATAGGCTTCATATACCAAAAATATATATGCAATTTATTAAATAAATATAATATTACATTTTATTTTAGCCGCATATATAATATATTCATATTTTGTAAACTTTTGGGGGTATACAAAATACATGTATTTTTAAATACAAAATAAATAAATTTAAAAAAATTATTCAGACCTTATATTTATGTTGACTTGTTTTGGCAAACAATTTTTTTTTATTTATTTGCGTGGCATGTGTTTACGCAGTTAGAATCTGGTAGATTATTTATTTATTTATTTATTTATTTATTTATTATACATAACACAGTGTTAAACGTTTTGAAAACAAACGACATAAACGTTGTCTGTGCTCCCTACACCCTGACTAGATCTCCGTGTACCTAACCTTAATAGCCTTAACTATGACTTCCACATTTGGTTTAGTGGCCATTACAATAATAATAATCCTGTGCACCTGCCATCCTCGTTACGGAAATAAAAAAATATATATGATGAGCGACAGCAGAGTTAGCACAAACCTGCCAAACTAAATTAGTCTTTAATGGGTTCCAGCCCCGCGTCTGACAGCTCACCTGGTGCACTTTTTGTCTGGAGGAGCATGTTAAACGCGACCACGCGTCCATTTGTGAGAGTGGCACTGGACACTTCAGCAGATCTGTGGATTACCTGAGCTTTTCAGACTAGCCTAATCAAACAGACTTCAGTCAGGGGTTTAAGAGTGTTGTTATGGGATAATAGTGATAAAAACCTGTAGGCGAGACGGATGTGAGCGATGCGCAGACTCGGTTTTACTGTACACAGGAACTCAGTGATATTTAGAAGAGAACAAAAATTCATACTTTCATAATGCAACATTTCTCCTGTGATAAAGCGCGAAGAATATTCTGGAATAGCAGTTTCTTATAGTTTTGGCGCCCTGGACGCGCACCAGCAGGGCATTTTCTCTCTTGCTTCACATTTATATGAAAACAAAGCAGATATACCTTCGGACCTAAAGCCGCACTGAATCCACAAATCCATCTGGAATAGAATATGTTACAGGGACACACAGAGAGAGAGAGAGAGGAAGATTAAGTGAAAGTAAGGGGAAGTTATTTAGCTATTAATATTTTTTTCTCCTCAGGCGTCGAGAGTGACTCCATCTGCACTTTCTTGCAGCTATTTTGGCTGGGCTGAAATTGTGGGAGACCCAAATGTTGGGCAGAGATAACATAACCATCAGAGTGTGGACCATCACTGCATTAAACACGGATTAACCTCTTCTCTCCCGTCACCCTGTCTCAACGCAGCTCGAGAATTTGACTGGCGAGGGATTTTCTTTAGTGTATAGAGTCCAGGGTTTAATCCATAATTCAGCACTACAGTAACAACAACAACAACTATTTATTTATAATTATATACGATTATATATATAGTTATATATATAATCTATATATTAACTATATATATATCATATATAATATATTATAGGCTATATATCGGGGTTTTTTTTATATATATTTTTTAATAATTTTTCCTTTTATGCTCCGGTATTAACCATTTTTGTTGTCAGGGATAATAAGTTGAACAGATATAAGCTCATAATAATATTACACTGAAGCTAGTGATTATAAAAGCTTGAGTCCATTTCGCCATTGCAGTGCTAGTTGCTTAAAATCCAGATAAAGGCAGTTCTAATTCCTGGAACCAATCAAATTTACCGAACCAGATGCAATTGACCATGATTTGCATTCAAGCATTGGTGATGCTGACATTTTTTCCCCCCAATGCCAGAACAACTTACATTCATTTAAATTTTTTTCCAGAGCTTTCTTTCTTTCTTTCTTTCTTTCTTTACATAATTACTTACTATCATAATAACAATAATAAATTTCACCCTGTAAAATAATCATATGATTATGCATAGCCTATTGTTATTTTTTTGTAAAACCATTGTCTTGAAGCTTTGGTAGCTTGATAGTAACTGTTAAAAGCCCCCATGGCACGACTTTAAATTTAATGCTAGGTGATGAAGTGAACAATATTCGTGATCCAGCCTATGTTAGCAATGATAAAAATGCAAA